TACCATTTAATATCATTTTTTTTTCTTTATCATCTCTTCATCTTACCACTTTTTCAAATAAGATACAATCATCAATCATTTAGATAACAACAATAATACCCCACATAATATAATTCATTAAGTTTCCATGGGTAAGGTTTCAGTATTTGTTGCAAACAAAAATTCACCGGAAAAAGTTCAGATTCATGAGTAAGTTGATCATCATTCTGGTGAAGATCAACTGTCTAGTAGTGATTAAGTTAATAACAATTAGCTAATATATATATTTAATACAGTTAAAAAAGATACAAAGTTAATCTTGAGGCTTATCATCAATTGTTTCATCACTGATAATAAAACTTAATTAACTTGATCCAGTTTTACAATTTAAATCCAGTTCAGTCCAATGATCTGGCAAAAGACTAAATCAAGCAAATAATTTACTAAAATCTATTCATCACTAATTATCATTAGCATCATTAATTATTATTATTTTACATGGGAATTAATTACCAATGGGAAACAAAATGGTTTCTCAGTTAATAATTTATTGATTTTTAAATTATTATGTAACAATTAGTGAATTCATTATATCTCAAGGGGGAAAAGTTGACAAAATGAATCAAAGCTCGCAGTGAAAGGGTTATATCGAAATACTCTGAATACCCTCAGGGGTTCACATTGAAGAAACCATGATAAGTGAAAAATTTAATATCATTTAGTGAACTAATGGTTCACTTGTAATATATCAAAGAGACTGAAAGATTGATGATAAAAGATGAAGAGTAAAAAAAAGGAGACGGAAATGAAAACCCGGAAATGGAGCAAGATGAAGATTAAAATGGGAAAAAAATCTTCCATTTGTATTGTCTTCATAGCTTGTGTGTCACTAAATGTATATCATGAATCCCAAAGGTACCTTGAATCAGTTTCTTCATGATAATAATCATAATAATCACCATGATACATGAACACAAAGTAAAATTGTCAACTTTTTGCTTGAAAATTCAATCTTCCAACTGTGATAATGATCATGAATACCTGCTGAACTATTTCATAATCGTTATCACCTATTATCAATCAAGGGAGTGATTATATTCAATAAAACAAAAATCTAATGATAACTCATGAAATTTGAATTCTAATAAGAGCAGATAATAACTTTTACTTCACAGAATTTTTTACATACATAGTAAATGAACGTGATATATTCATGAGTATATTCATTGAATCAAAGAATGAAATTGTTAATAGAATTTTAAATAAAAAAAGTTCTGATAATTGTTTTGATTCTTTTTCTCCTCTTATCTGCATGGTACCTTAGATGCATACAAAGTTCCTATTGATTAGTATCATGTGGGTGAAACTTTTTCTCTTTTCATGATTCGATTTTTTTTTCTCTCTAACTATTTTCTCTTTTTTTTTGTTCTTCATATCCTGAAAATCATGATAAACAAAAAGTTCATAAGGTGATGACAATAAAACATCCTTTTGTTTACTATTCATTGATTTCCTTAAGAAAATAATATATCAATTTGTTGTTTGTTATCACAGAAAATAAATACGAACACAAAAAAGTTCTGATGCTTAAGAATTGGATGTTATTATTATTGTTATATTTATATTCCAATGTTCAATTCCAATCACAAATTACTATTCAATCTTTATCATTATTAGAATAACAAGAAGAGAAAACTGTCTCCAAAGAAAATGAATGAATTCGAAATTGAGAAAAATTTTCACCAAAAGAAATATAATAGGAATTAGATAAAGGAAATGATTATCGATACAAGTCACGGATTTCATATGATTGACCCGAAAAAAAAGGTGAGTTCAGAAGCTTGAAACATAACATCATGTGTTGATCATGTTAATGATAACAAATAACAAGAATGACGATAAAGTGAAATGTAATTTACAATGTTCAATATGTACCATTAATATCATCATGTGTATGTTTGAAAATCAATTGTTTATTGAATCTGATTGTTGGGAGGAAAGAAAAGTGAAATTAAAGTTATACTCGGCAAATCATCATGAAAAAGACATCATTTTACATGAAAACGGTTCGATAATAACTTGAAATATTATCTACAATGAATCAGAGGATAAGGATATAAATATACCTTTGAAAGGATAACTAAATGTGATGAAGATGCGAGTAAAGAGGATCAGGATAATACAATGACTTTCAATAACATGAACACGATAATATTGCATTTATTAAGCAAACTTTTTTTCTCTTTTCCAAAAACATTTGTTGTACAGTCATGCAATCATTTTGCACATCATCATCTTCATCTTTATCTTTATCATCTAATTGAACATTTCATCGAAATGTTTCCTTTCTACTTCTCTCTATCTCCTTCATTTTCATCTTCATCAAAAGGACTACAAATGATTTTGCAAATGATATCAAGATATTTTTCTCATTCTAACTCACTCATTCACCCACTCACTATCTTCTCTCTCTCTCTCTCTCTCTCTCTCTCTCTCTCTCTCTCTCTCTCTGTAACTATATTATGTTTGCTTCCTCTTCCTACTTTTTTCTCTCTCTCTCTCTCTTTCCCCTCTTTTATCTTCATCATCTACTTCATTTTGCTTTCATCCCAATAATGATGATGCACCAATGTGACATGATGACAAACTTATATAAGTTGCAAATGAAGGAGAAAAGATTGAAGATGAAAATTATGTTTATCCTCATCAGTTGGCTGATAAGAAATGGGAGGAGATGAGGATAAGTTGTAAATCATTATCTGTAATTTCATATTTTTTTCTACTCGATACTCTCATTGTTCCGATACTATTCTTGTTCGGTGTGTCCAGTAGGTTGTAATGATAATTTGTACACGTAATCAAGAAATAATCACATAAATTGCCTTCGAGCAATTAGACTATTCAAGTGACAATGGAAATTATCATCAAAAGCAATCGGATATCTAACCCAACCCTCTTAATCACTGCTATCGTATCTTTGAGTTGAAAAATATTAGGGAAAAAACTTCAATTGACTAAAGGTGTTTGATAATCACGCAATTAAATCAATCCAGATCAATCAAGGTTAAAGAGAGAGAGAGAGAGAGAGAGAGAGAGAGAGAGTATTAGGAATACACATCATGTATATCAACATGAGATGGCCCAAGATGCTCATACAAAATGTAAACAATCAACTAATAGCTAATCAATAAAAAAGGTTTCTTTTTTATTTTCTTTGATTCTTTTTTACCAATTAGCTAATATTGTTATCATATCATCAGGTATCATCTTGATAATGATGAAAAACGTGATTACTTATGGATGATGTTGACTATCGGCAGGAAAATGTTGAATAGGTAAGTTGATTTGGTTGATGATTAAATTGCACTGATTTAACCTCTTGAAGTAAACCTTCACTAAGAAAGTCATTAGCTTATCAACAATTGATTATCCTTGAAATGATTTATTAATTTAAATTTACAGTTAATTAATAACAACTTTTAGGTTCATGTGAATGGTAGTATTGTCAACAATTAATCAATTTGTCAAATTGATTGATTTATTTAGTTAATTATTTGTTGAAAATTTTTCAACCTGATTGCTTAATAGATTGAAGATTCAATTAACTATTTCATCATTTTGACAGTAATGTTTTGACAAATCAAATTAACTGATAAATCAAATGTTTAATTTTTTTTAGTTAAATTGACAAATAAAACAAAAGTCTGACAGGTAATGTGTGATAGTGGGCAGGGGTGGGTAGTTATTTATATTACCAGAGACAAAGTAAACAGAATCTGAATACATGAATATAATTGATGATATTAATGAGAATCATGAAATGATTTCAGAAACAGAGATTGATTTACTACAGGAATTGATCATGAAAATTATACTGAAAGGTGAGTTCAGGTAAAATTATCGTCATGTTCAAAATGTAAATTCAATCTTTGTTTATGTTAGAAAAGAAAGACGGAAAAGAGGAGAAATGAATTGTTGAGAAAACTGAATTTACTATTATCATCATGAGCTATTGAAATTCTGCTCTGAACTTTTTTCTCACTGACAAGTTTTAAGTCTCGTTCTTAAGAAATTATTTGCATGACATCAGTGATTCAATAACAAGGAATGAATATCATTTAATATTTTCGTATTAGATTTTGTTCCCTATGTGAGTTTTTGCTTTGATTGTGGGTGGAAAATTGAAAATAATTCACAACAATCAATACCCGCAAGGTTGATTCATTTGTAACTTGGTGAAAATTGATATTATTCCGTACACATACACTACCATATATATATTACATTTAGACACAAATCTTTGATTGTTGATCAGATGATGATTGAATTTCATTCAGAATGGATTAACGATTTTGATTATATATCTCATTTAATACATTAGCTTTGTAAAGGTAATTTAAGTAACATAACTAACGATGTAATTTAATATCATCATGACCACAATCCAATTATCTCACACTATCGTAATCAAATGTTAACTTGATTATAATCAATTACTTACGATAATTAAGCTTCGAACCTGTAACAATTTTCAAATTTTTTTCGTTTTTTTACTCCTGCTTATTATCATCATCACAATTAAAATAATTAACGGTAATATTTTGATGCTTAAAACAACAATCAGATTGTAATTTGGTTAATTCAATTAAATCTTAATAAAAAAAAAACTTAATAAAGCAAAACCAATTAAAGGTTAACAATTTAGGTTAAAATTAATACAGTTACAAGATTGTATCTTTAGCGATTAGATTAGACCAGAAAAATGATTCTGATTAATTGAAAAATAATCTTTCCCATGGATCAGAGTAAAAAACATCCGATCCAGAATTTTCAATCATGAATACAAAATAATCTCTTTGTAAGCAACTTGAGATCAGATTAAATCAGAATCTTTGTTTCATGGAATCAGGGGTTAGAAACTTAATTTAATCTCATCATGATTCTATCATGAAATGTTTCTAATCAAATGGTGACTTTTGATTGTTGATTAATTTAATTGATTGAGTAAATTTTCTACTCACAATGAACTCTCATATCATCGGTCCGAGTTACTGTTTGAAATGAAGGTGAATCAGCGATAACTTCACAGATATATTTTCCCTCGGTGGTGAGATTACTTTTGTACAGGTAAACACTCCCTCGATTTGATTTGGTTTCCTTTATGAGTTGGTGGGAACATTTATCATCCAAAGTGTCATCAGTTATCATTAGAAAAGATGAAGATCATGACAGAAATGAGAGAAAAGATTTTCTTTAGAAATTTTCACTTTTAAAATGTGATAAAATTCAGAATATTATGATGATGAATGAGAATTTAGAAGATCATTTTGGTAAAATGATCACGATGCTCAAAGATAATATTCGAAAGCTTTTGGACACACCCTTATGGGGACACACTTTCAATATAAGATTTCATCAGAATAAATATTCTAGATGATCAACTTTGCAAAAATATGAAATATTATTGAAATGAACTTACGTCTATGTGAACTCCTGGTGTTTCGTATGTAGTTGTTGGAGGTACCTCATTATGAACATAACGGTAAAATTGTCTTTTATTATTCAGATTAATCTCAAGCAGATTAGCCTTAAACCATGTTATTGAATAGAGATTATCATTTTCCAATTCATATGAACAATTTAACCAAGCTGATTCACCGATTGTTATAGCTTTGGGCACATAGATACTTTTAATTTTCAAACAATCAATCATACCTGGAATATAAATAGACAGAGAAGAAAAAATTTCCATGAGAAATATTATCAAAATAGGTAAGATGATGTAAGATCTATTTTTATCTCACAAAATGATGAAGATGATGCTGTTTGCAATTCGAGATAAATATAAATATAAATATAAGATTCTGTGACTTATAAGCCTTCGAGTGTTTATCGAGGAGGAAAAAAACATCTCTCTGTTTACTTAAAAATCGTGATCCATTTAAAGTTAAGTTACCTGAACTAATCTTATATCTATCACAATCTGATTGATTTACAGAAAAACGAGTGAAAATTCAAAAAAAAATGTAGCGGGAGTTTGTCTTTTGACAGTTAACAAAATAATCTACGAGATGATTCAATGTTTTGTCCATAGACTAGTTTCAGCAACAGCTGATTGGTTGGGAAACTCAATCAGAGAAAATGAATAATCTATTTGATTAATTACAATTTATATCAAATTTATCCATCATCATGATGAGAATCGTTTCAATGAATAAATAGATTATTCCAAATAAAAATGGATTCTGATGGAGAAAATTTTCCTCTTCCTTGAATATTAGGTTAACATTCATTTGAATAAGAAAATATTATTCCAAAGTCAATATTATCCATGGAGTTAATTTTTTCTCTCTCTCTTTCAGAATTATCTGATATTCTCGATTCATTTTCATGAATAAATTTCATGTTCTACCACCGTATACACAGTCATTCTAACCTCTTCTCTTTCCAACCTTCTCATCAAAATGAACAGCTTCGAATCTAAATTAGTTAAGTCAATGGGCGTTCACTGAATTAACCTGAATTCTGTGTAAGAACAAAGAGTGATCATTTTCTTAATATTAGAAGAAAAAAATTTTCTCCATCACCGCCTCTTATTCAACTGATGCTAAATTGTTACAATTTATTTCCTGAGCTTCCATTGTGTTGATCATGAAATGTGAGATTAACCCAAGAATATGAATTAAAACGGATTACCTTAAATCACCTACACCTTTTTTCAAATTAATCATCTGGTGTATTTTTTTCACTCTAATCTTTTAGCTCATTTAGATAATAGTTAAAAATGATTATAATTAACAAAGTAAACACAAAAAAGTACACATAGTTGATTAAAGGTTAATCATGACTGATTAAAATTGATATTTGCAATATCTTATCTCATTATAATCATTAAAACAAAAAGTTTTTTTTCCCGCAAATTGAATTAATATCAACTAACTTTTTATCATTAACCTGATGTATCAGAAGTTTCAATGCATCAGGCTATCAAGCTGAGGCATCATAATGAACAGAAAAAAAGTTCTGGATAAGAAGAAAAAAGTTCAAACGATAACATCTCAATATTACTCTAAGTATATATAAAATTTTCATTGGAATTCATTGTAGATGAAGATGCAAAGTTCAGTGGAAAGTTAATGATGATTAGTGGGTGAGAAAAAAAAATCTAATAGTTATTATGATAACGGTAAAGTTACTGAATCAAGTCGTATAACTTTTTTAACTTTCAGCAATATCGCAAAGTGAAAATTGAGAAAATAATCTCCATGGGATTTTGATAATGCTGAATAACTCACATAATATGAAGTGAATATCTTTCAACTGATATAATTTCAAGATGGAATTGGATATTGGGAAAGTTTATTCAAATATCGATAAAATATCATTGACTTTACAACATTCATGCTAATCAATCAGGTGATCATCATGATATCTGAATAAATTTATGATTAAAATGGTTTGAATCTGAAACGAATACTTTTCTTGAGAGGAGAGATAATTTCGCAGCCTTATTAGTTTTCATTGATTCGATATAATAATGAAGCAAATATTGCATTTCTTTTGTACTTTGTTGTATATTAATACTATTACTTTTCATCATCATCATCTTTATCTTCATCGTAATGATCATTATTAGATTTTTTCTCAATGTTCAATATCAATGGTAAGGGTAATACTTGAATGAATTTTTTTCTCTCCATCTCAATATTTCTGTTCCTATGAATATCATTTCATTCTAGTTTCATGGTGAATGTAAATTTGCATTCAAATGAATGATTGCAAAACATGATCACGTAGATGATGATATTATTTTTTATCATTTGTATCTGTTAATATCAACCCCCGAGAACCAGTGAGAATTGTTAATTATATCATGTTATCATGAATTCTTGTCTCTCTCGCTCATTTTTTTACTCACATTCTAAGATGAACAGTAAAAAAAATCTTCACAGAATAACAAATAGATTCTGAAAGTGTCATGTTATTTACAATTCATCATGAAGATGCGAGAAAATTTATCCAGTATGTTCATCTCTTTTCTGGTACACTAGATACTATTCAGTGATAAAAGGTCATTTAATTGAGAAAATGATAATTTAACTTTTGCTGATTAAACGAGAACTCCGAAAACATGTCAACAGGGGAAAAGCTCCATGGGACTCTGATTGTTTATCCTGATAGATTATCAGTTCATACTAATGCTTGTGTCTATCAAAATTGCTCATTATGCATTTTCTTTGTTCTCTGTAATCATTTTTCTATCTCTTTCTCTCTGTTTTTTTTATCGATCCATTTCCGAGTCCAGAAATTTTCAAAGTCATGCATTCATATTCAATGGTTATCATGATTCTATCAAGATGGATTGATTGAAGACGGAAGTTGATTCATAACAAAGACAGTCAGAAATTCAGACTCAGTAATGTTACAAACTTAATGAAAATTAGGTTGATTATGATTTTGGATTGCTAATTATGAATAATTTCATTTTCCACCCTTTATATGAAAAGTTTTCGTTTCTTCATTTACAGAATTACAAAGTTGATTATCAATAAATGCTAGAAAATGTTGACATTATTTCCATGTGATATCATGAATATAAACAATAAATTTCCTGTCAAGTTTAGTTTGATGGATTGGTCAATCTAATAGCGATTCCAATGTCCGAGAAATTATTATCACATTCTCCCTGTATTAATGGCAGATCCAAATGAGAAACAACTTGACAAGATATAAAGATAAATAAACAATGTAGCACATGGTTGATGAAATAAACAGTGATAATATTAACTCAGATATTGAATAAAAATCAATAATCAGCCAAAAAAATTAGAGTTTAATTGCTTACAATTAGAATGATTATTTTAATTAAAAGTCAACAGAATGTTAATCGATTAACATGTTGATTGTATCAAGAGCATCATATATCATAGTGTATTTAAATAAAGTTCATTAATCATTTGAATTTTTAATGATAAATTAAATTGACTACTGATTCCTATTAATCATTTTTTTTCGTAGCATCTTAATCAATATCAATTGAGTAAACTAATCTATCGGATATCAAACAATTACCAAGTTAAGTTGGTTTTTTTTTATTAAAACAAATGAACCTGAACAATTTACTAAATTATTGTAAATTGATTGTAACGTTAGCAATTTGTTGACAACCAAGTTTATTAGGAAAAAAATAAGCCTCAACCATGATGCTAAATAGATTACAATTGATCAACTTTTACGGTTGATTAATTGTTGATCATGTAACTTTGAATCGTAACAATCAAAAAGACAAAAGTTTTAACTCATGAACATTTAATGAGAGTGAAAAACATTGGGTATATGATTGATTGATTATTTCATTGATTGTTGGGTAAGTATGGTTACATTGTTGACTTGAAAAAAGGATGAGGATGAAGATGAGGATGAACTAGATAAAGATGAAGAAATAGAGTCAACCATTTGTAAGATTTTTACTCTTACTCAGCGTAAATCATTGTTATCATTGGTTTTTCTCTCATTCACTTTCATCCATGAACCTTTTTGTGTTTCCTTCTCACGCTTCATCTTCTATTCCTGTTCATCATCTTTATCATCATCATCATCATCATCATCCTCTTTTTAACTCTGTCTACATCATGTGTTTATGGATAAATCAGTGATTCAATCCAGAGTGAGAAGGTAATTCATTGAATTGTAACGAAGGGAAAAACCTCAGATTCTGTAAGTTTATCTGTCTCATGAGAGATTTTGAATCATGTTTACATCATGTAAACAAAGGTATTAAAGAATTAAATCTTTCAAAATATTGCAAATGTATCATATTTTATTATCATGGAGAATTTATTATTAGACATCTAATGTTTTAATTGTATCGTAGTTGTTAATTTTAATCACCATAGCAAATTAATTGCTACGGATGAATCAAAACAATGAGCAATTACGATTCCATCTAAATTAAAAGACTAATTTACATAAAACAATTAAAACAGTAGAAAAATCAAAGTAACTGTAATTAACACTTAAATTAATCTTCTATTCAACATTTCATGTAAATTATACCACTGGAAATGTTAAGAGTTTTCAATTATTGTTACTTTGTATCAAACTAATACAAAAAAATTATTATTAATCAGTCAATTTGTGTTTTCAAGTTAACAGTTATCTTCATGTCATCATTTGTAATCAGCTGATTGAGATGAATTATTTACAGAAACAGATTATCATTAAGTCTGACTGATGATCCCATCAATGTCAACCGTATGTTGTGATGATAGGAAAGGTGTGAAAGGTTTAGGGTTAATTGAATGAACCACAAAATGGTAACAATTGATAACATTTGCTTTGCTCACTGAGGGCTGATTATGTGGTTACAGCTTGTTTCTTATCAAGCAACGGAAACAGGATCAGGGCATAAGAAGGGCGTTTATATCGTGTGGGTCTGATGATTGTTTATCAACAGCTGGGGAGTAACACTTTTTGTTGACAGTTTACTTTTTCGGCATCAAGATAATCAACCAGCAGAAAAAGCTACAATTGATAACAACAACAGCGAGGTAACATCGCAAACCGTCCAGTCCTTTGACTGGACACATGATGATTTTATATCGATAAGTTATCGATAGGAGAGTTTGCATTTTTGTAGAACAATTCAGATCACATTGAGACTAATTGATTTAAATCGATGGCTAAATTGCAAGTAATATTAATATGCTCACTTTTATACATTCAATAATAACTGCCATTCATCCTAATTAGTGAGTTGATTGTACTTTATGAAGGCTATGAGCTGAAAATTGATGAGACAAGTGATTAATTAATTGCAATGCAAAACAATCAAGTTTAGCGTTAGCTGGATAATGGTTAAGGATATCAACCATTAGTATTAAATACATAATAGTTGTTGGGTGATAATTTATCAAACACCGAGAATGAATGTTATTAGTTAGCGTAAAAAAGTACAAGTAATTTTTTATCAATGACAACATCCAGCAAAAAAAAGTATCATATGATAACCATGATGATTTGCTATCTAAATATTAATCATCTAATCAAATTGTTACAAGATGATAGCAAATGCATTTAAGTTGTTTTTATTGATATACAGCAAACATGATATATTGATTTACGGTTATCAATATTCTGAACCTTAATTGAAATTGAGTTAACTGAATTAAGTTAATTATTTTTTTTTGTCAATCTGTTGACGTTAAATTGTTGAATACTTTACAAGTCATGTATTTGTATTGAGGATGTTGATATTTTTTTTTTGAAACATCAACATCATGTAAGTTTATTTGATATTTAAATAGACAATGTTTACCAAAACAATTTAAATTCAACATTGACAACCAGCTGACCAAATAAAAAGTATATCAATGGACAATGATTTTTGTTACTATCCATGAAAATACTTAAAAATAAGACAAGCTTATTAAAATATTAGATTGAAATTAGCACTAAACTGTTGTGAATTAAGTAGCAATTAACTTGTAGTGATTATGTTAAGTATAAACATTGTGAAGTTGATTGTACATTAGATGAAAACAGATTAGCATTAGATTTGATTTCAATGAATTTAATTGTTGTTAGATTAATGCATTGAACATTAATGGCGATTCATTCATCTCATTAATTCAAAAGGTCAAGTAAGATGGTCAGTCATTAATTTTAGTAAACAATTTAGCTAAAACATTTACCCAATTGTTTACGTTAAATTGAGTCTCGTGTCCAATAGAGGGAGAGATCATTTTTAGCATCCAAATGGTGAGTAAAAAAACTAATTGTTATCAACTAATTAGCAGCTTGTCAAAGTTAAATATTGTGTTTATTTACATGAAAAAAAAGTTCTAATCATGAACAATTTAGCATCATCACACAATTACTAGCCTCTCAAATCTTTGGGAATAACAATAACATTAACTTGAAGAAAAACATTAAAAAATCAAGATCTGGTTAAAGGAAAATATTTAAATGTCATTAGTAAAGCAATTATCAAATCTGTTTACAATTAACTCATTTAAAAAGTAGATGATGATTAGATTATGAAGAGATAATGATTGAGTTTCTGCTATTACATCAATGTTATGATGATCCGGATGATATTTTACTTGGTTTACACACACAAAATAGTGATGAAGACGAGGATGGTGATTGTAAATCGTAAATAACAAGATAATATTGATCTGTCAAGTTAATTCATGTTTATAGTAGTACATGTGAGTGTGATTATTGCATAAGGTTATTTGCCTTTTTGCAATAATATAAATAATTGTTGATATTATTAGTTTTATGCATAAAATGCAACAGATGATGACACAATAAGAATAACCTGTTAAATGGTTATCTATGTAAATATGTTTTCTTTCCGTAATATCAACTAATCAGAAATGTTAATATAACATTTCATGAGTTGTTGATAGACAGCCATGAACAATGAGATAAACGATATTTGCCTCATTCTCCAAGTAAATCTGCCTAATCATCAGTAGTTAGATAAAACAAATTATCTTGATGATAATGATGATCAGACGAAACAAAACAGTTTTGAGTATTGCTCCATGTTCATCATGAAAGAATCATCAATCACCGGAAGTCAGTGAGAGACAAGCAACTAATTATATTTACATGGGAGAGAATAGGAAAGTGTTGATAGTGGTTAATATTGAAGGAGCGATTCGAGAACCATCAGCTACTAGCAAATGATTTACTAAGTAATAGAAAACGTTTCACAGAATTGACCTGATTTTCTGAACATATTGAATCGTTGGATTACCATTTTTGGTGTTATTTCAATTATATCGAGATGGAAGTCACTCTTTTTTTTTGCTTCTCAAACGATGACAAGAAAAATTATTTCCAAATGAAACATTAATAGCTGAACAATTTGAATAATCATGTATACAATTTATAAAATGAATAATAAATAAATGTAATAAATAACCTGAATTAAGATGATTCTTGGCGATGAGGTTGAAACATGCAAACGTTTTCATGTATTTTATTTATATGCATTCAGCTCACAAATTTCATGTATCTGGACACTGACCATTGGAAAAGTCTTAACAAAATTCCGGTTCAATTGGTAAAAATGATTAGACAATTAACCTTGATTCATTTTTGTTAAACTATTATCAATAATCAGGCTATTTAATAGTAAAATCGTGTTTACATAATTAATTAAAACTCAAGTTATCACAATTAACCGTCTCTTTCGGGAGAATACGGATAATTATGTTTACAAGAGTCAAAATATCAGGATAATTTAATTAATTGAACATTCAAATTCAGGTAATTAATAATTCAATGACTTCTTCCGTTGATGCTAATTTTCAACCAATGAGAATAGACAAATCATAATTAAACAAATATACAATTAAAACGTTGATATTTTTGTCACAAATGATCAAAGCTTTTAACACAAGTTGATCTTCAAAGGAAAATCTGTTAGTAAAATTGAGATTAAATCATAATGATTAACCTAATCATTACCTTACTACTTAGGCTTGACAATTAGATTAGTAGTGAGTAAGGTTACTAATGATTTACCACAATTGTGATAATTATGTATTTGCTACGTTCATTTACAGTTAATCAATTACTTTATATTGACCGCGCTCTTAATTCTTGGGTGAGTAATTAACTGATTTTCATCATATTATGAGATTAACATGAGAAGATATTAATCTAATTCAGGGTGATCGATGTTGGGAATTCGCTATTGGATTGTATCTGATTAAGCTTAATCCTGATTCACTATTTTCTGCTGCGATTCAAGGGATTTTGGCGTCTTGTCTATCGATTGTTATACTTCCTTATCTTGGCGTATGGATATCGAAGGCCAATCGATTGAAAGAAATTGCAGTTTTTGTGTTTCTCCAAAATTTTTGTGTTGCAGTGGCTTCGTTTTTCGTTGCTCTCTTTTTCCTTGGTGATCATATTCTGGGAAAATCACTTCATGGGGTAATATCTTAGAAAACTAATTGACTGCAATATTAATTAAAGCTCAAATTAATAATCTATTCAGGTTATTGTCCAACTCGCTCCATACATTTTGGTGATATTTTCATCATTTGCTCAAATCGCTTCATCTGGATACAATTTATCGCTTGAAAAGGATTGGATACTTGTGATTGCCAAAGATGATCAACAATTAACAAGTAATTTAAAACTTTTCTAGTTAAATATTAATTATTTTAAAAGATCTCACCAATTCTAACATTAATCTAACTAATCCTTAATAGCTTTAAATGCATCTCTGCGACGTATCGATTTGATAATTAAGACAATTGCTCCTCTAATTGTTGGTCTGCTTATTCAATATTCATACTTGGCTTCAGCTCTTTTCCTTACATTTTTTAATTTGTTTTCTGGATTAATTGAGTATCTGGTCATGCGGATAGTTTATGATAAAGTACCTGGATTATCAAGAGAAAAGTCTTTACCCATGATATTAAATAAATCAACGGATACTTATAATGCTGATGTGGCTGAATACAAGCAATCAATTCATTTGTATCTCAAGTATTATGGTTTACCAGGGATCGCATTCAGTTTATTGTACCTCTCAATCTTTGGTCTTGATTCAATAGCTGTTGGTTTCATCAAATCAAAAGGAGTGAGTGAAACTATCATTGGACTGGTCAGTGTTTTGTGCGCTGTCACTGGAATAATTGGTACAATGGTCTTTCAAGTGATCAGTAACCATATGAGCCTTAATAAAATAATGACCATTGGCTATCTCAGTGATTTGATTCCTTTATCGTTATGCCTAATTATTGTTTTTACACCATTTCACCGACTTGGAATCATGCTATTCAATTATGACCTTTCAATTGTCTTATTTCTCGCTGGTATAACCCTTTCTAGAACAGGCTTATGGATTACTGATTTAGCTAATAATCAGTTGATCCAAACAACTACACCTAATCCTGCACTAGTTGGTGGTATGCAGAATAGTTTGAATACAGCGGCAGAATTAACTAAATTCATCATAACTGCAACCCTATCAAACTTATCACAATTTTATATCTTGGTTTTTGTATCATTTTGTTCAATTGCAATGGCGACAATAATTTCAATCACTTTAACAATTCACAAACATTACAACTCATCAAACCAAATCGGTGATGAGATTCAATATGAACCTTTATGTAAAGTCAACATGTAATTTTTTTAATTAGATTAACATAATTAATATCAAATGAAAGGTAACGATACATTTAATTGTATTTATTAATTATTGTTAGAGTAAAATTTCATCAGTAGAATCGATTAATTCAATTCCAATGATAAGCAAATCCTAATTTTAACCATGAAGAGTTCAACTATCTATAAGTTAATAAACTTTAAATTGAATCAATTTTTTTTCAGTTGACAGATAATTTTCCCCTCTTATTATTACATGGGAAACTATCAAGGAAAGTGTTGCTAATAATAATGGTTAGTTAATGTTTAAATAATCAGATTAAAAGTCTATGGTTGGTTTATTTGATTGATTGTTAAACTGATCATAATGACTTTTATATTGTGTGTTAACTATTGACACTTTTTATCATTACATGAGGTTTAAATGGAGATAAGATGAGTAGATGAACAGAAAACGAGATGATAATCAGTGAGAGAGACAAAGACAATGTTATTATAAGATTAAACAAGAGATAAGATTAATATTTTCCTTCATTTATCCTCTATTTATCTGGATGATGATTATGACAGGTCCATAAATGATGAAAAAAGTTGATACATGAAATGAAGGTCACTCTCAAGTTCACAAAGATCATGCATGTAGTAGATGTCACAAGAAATTTTGTCACATTAAACATTTAGTTATAATTAAGATTATAACTAAAAAGCTAATGATGAAATTATCAAGTTATGAATAATATCAAATACCAAATAATTGAAATATTTTGACATTTAATTTACTCATGGTGATGAAATAACCTTTGCATGATATTCAGTACATTCTGTTGGTGATACTTGAATTTTTAACTCTTCATTTTCATGGTGGTTTATATTGAATTTCTCAAGTAATTTTATTATAAAATTACCATTGTTACTGGATTATTGAGAAGGCAATAAATTCTGGACCTCACACTTGAATTTTGAATGAAAATTTTGGAAACACTTTGGTATTTTTTTCAATAAAAGCAAAGCAAGAATTGTATCAATCAAATGTCATCGCATGGAGACTTAAAAAGATTCAGGAAAATAACTGAGTAACTCATACAGAATGTCAAACAGAGTCATCATGTTTCATGGTAGTATCATTGTTATTTAGTTTTTTTTCTCTCTCTTCTTTTCTCACGATTTTTTCAGCCTTTTTTCAATTGAAAATTCTGAGTATTCTGAGTAGAAACTTAGAGTGAAAAGAATGTAAAGAATATCATCAAAAAACTGATATCATTATGCATCCGAGAAAAAAAAAGATGATGAGGCAAAAAAGAAAACGATGTAGATGAGAAGATGATGAAAATTCAAATAATATCATGGTAAGAAAAATACTCTTAAGATTATGACCAGATAAAGGATTAGGTATTATATTGAAACAGAATCTATTATCTCAATTTTTTTTCTTGCCTTCATAATATGAAAACTTGATTGTCTTATTATGGGAAAGAGAGGATATTAAATTGAATGAGAAGCAGGGAGTCAAAAATACTAATAATAAAAAAAGATGATTGTTTATAAGTAATAGAAATGAAAGGAAATTAGAGATAAAACCGGATGTAGAAATAGGAAGATAGATGGAGAAATGATAAGTAATTTAGAAAGGAATAAGATGAAGAAAATGACGAAGATGAGGTGTAGGATAGAGATGAATAAGCTCTAATAAAGTTACACTAGATAGTTTGTTACATGGGGAAAAAGAGTTGATTCAGTTTTAAGACTAAACCTGGATTGATAAAACTCTAATTGGATTAACATGTGAATAGTTTATTTTAACAATTCATTATGAGTCAGTATCTTTTGTTGTTACTTTGTTTTTGTTCATCTAAAGTCAACTGAATGGTTACTTAGTCCATGTCATCTTCACTCTCACTCTCATCCCTAATTGGCTTAGCTCCTTTTATAATTAACTGATTGCCTAGCAAATCCTTCCCTTTCTTATACTTATAATATAATGTATATATTCATGTTATTATAATCAGATTAGCCTTTCTTTTATCTGTATAATAGCTAAATGACCAACATCATCTCAATCTCATCAACTATCAACCCTTACCAACTCTCTCATTTTGTGATGATGACCAAAAACAAAACAAATAAAAAAATAACCTTAAAGCAAATGATAATGAAGATAATGATGATAATCAGAGCTACTGTGAAAGTGGCTCGTTACCAATGTTACAATGGGTCAAGTGAAATGTTTTCTTAGCCATATAGTTGATGGTCAGTCTGAAAACACCCTTACCAACAACATTTATTCATCAACAACAAAGCATCAGCTTCATTGACTGTTAATTTGATTTGTTTCCTAGTAATTTTTTTCCCCTTCTACTCTACAATGAACTAATCACAACAAAAGGAATAAAAGTAAGTTGATAATCAAACTCGAAACATCATCATCATACTGATTCCAATCATTATCATCAACAGTTTATGCGTAAAAACAACAATACATGAAATGTGTTGTTTTTCAATTGAACAATTTGCTCCAAGGATGAAAATAATTCTGATAATTATCTTGATTACCATCAAGACCACGGTTATCCAATTAACTAAATATCATTCAATTTAAGGTTCAATTGAGTTTTATCAACAGTTGAATGAGAAAATGATAATCCAAATATACAACACTTTGTAATACAAAACACCCTGTACTCTGATTTAATTGTTAGTATGCTATTAATAAATTAATGACTCTTGAACCAATCAGATTTCAATAATTGCGCTAAGAGTTATCAATCAAAGGGAATAGTTTCAATACATTGTATAAACAATAAAATAACGTCCACTAATTGTGATTAAATAATTATTTTATAGTATTATGGTTAATGTTGATCGATCTTGATTATTATTAACTGATTGTTATTACATTGGTAGTCACAGTTTTCCTAACAAGCAACTATTAATATTAATAATTAGATTCAAGAGGCAATCAAAATGTAGTTAATTTTTTGTCCATCCACTGGTCATCACTGTAATTTGCATCATAATTTAGCATAAAACCAATTAAATTATATAATTGTTATAATCGTTTATTTAATCGGTCTGATTGATTGTTATTACCATTCAAATTAGAGTATTAAATCAGAGTATGAGAGCATGTAAATAAACAAATAAATCACTAATCAAAATATCAATTAATGGTAATTGGGTTCATTACGAGTTGATTTTAATCCAGTCAAAATTATTATAATATATGAAATCAGTTAATTTAATCTGATCATTACACACATTGAGTAAATGGTGTCAATTGTTTTGTATTCAAGGGATAAAATCTAATAATCTAATCAAAGTCTATCTCATTGTGATGATGATCAGTGTTGATGCAATTAATTCTTGGTTTTTCTGGTTTCAATCATGAACCTTAAATTAGATTCAAATTAATCAGAGGTAGATTATTGATTCTGATAAAGCAGGTAGACTCACTGATTAACTTTACAGGTTTGTAATTAATTCCTATTCCGCTCATCTCGATTGAAATGAAGTGTCAGTTCAGTCAACCTCAGCATTTGCATGGCTTTCAACACTTATAAAATCTAACTTCCTACCAATTGTACATGAAGCCTCATCTCTATTAGAATATTTCATCTCATGAAAAAAACTGAGCTTCACCAAGCATGTAACATCGACAGGGACCATCAACACTTGAGAAAGGATAAGATGAAAGAAAGAAGATGAGGAAAACGAAAAAGTCAAATTCTCAATGGAATTTGAAATTCAAATTGATGTTCTACTCAAACACATATCATTTTGAATTATGTTGAATTCTAAGTATTTTGATTGATCCAGAAAAAAGTTCCTTTCATATTACAAATATGTAACCATCTCATTCTAATATCACTTCTGATTGGAAACATTTAACTTATTCAGAGAGAAAGAGAAAGAGAGAGCGAATGTAAGTTTTGCGAAAGGTAAGCAATCAAATTAAAATGTAATTTGTCTTAGTGTCAACAACTTTGTAATAGTAGCAACTTAAAATCAAATTAAGTTTTATAACAATTGAAAGATAGAATCAGAGTCGAAATTTCAAAATATTGATTAAATGTTGATCTAAAATAGTGATATTTTGAGATGATTATTTAGAGTAAATCAGAAGCTTATAATTGTGATTTAAAATGATATAAGACTGACATAATTGTTGAATCAACTCAACCATTGTAAATTAACCGTTAATCAATAAAACAGTTAATATTATTAATAGATATTTAATTTGTCTCATTATGATTAGATAATAACAGGTAATATATCATTTTTAAATTACCATACAGTGAGATTATATTGTTCAAGAGTAATGATAACAGATACATTGTAATACTGTTATCAATTTGAATATTAATTTGAATTGTCACCCAATTTCAAGGACAATTAACTTAAATAGCCTGAGCTACTTTCATGGGGAGAGAGAGGATGAGAAAAGCAAGAAAATCTTTGAAGAAAAGACAAAAGACAACACATTGTATTATCATTATTAGTAAGTAGTAGTATTATCGTCTAACTGTAAATACGAAGGAGCTCATGATGATTCCTTTGATTCTGAGCTCTTTTATGGATCTCCGGATATTTCAAGGAAGAAAAAACCTAATTACTTGGAAAGAGAAAATTGAGAATTAAGAGCTTCCCGAGGAGAATCTACAGTTTTCACTCTTTTCATCGTCTTACTTTCTTTTCATTTATTACACTTTAAAAGTATCTCATCCAGTTGAAATAAATGAAAAAAAGTTGGAAGCAGATGAAATAATGAGAATGAAAAAAGCGACGATAATAAACAGAATTGTCTTTCTACAGAAAATAACAAGTATTGTCCCAACCAGAGATGAAATTCTGGGTATGATTATTTTCCGGAGACTCTTAACCCTGTAATCATGTTTCCATGTTACTCATAATTATAAAAGGCTCACATGGTTAACTTGACTCCATGTGATAATATTACTGATAATAATACAATAACCACAATAACACTTTACTTTGTGTGTATGTGTTTAATTTGCTTGAAATTAACAGAGGACAATTTGTAAATTGTTTGTAATAATAAAACCAAATAAATTACTTGCTACAATTGTTTGAAATTGACCTAATTTGTTACATCAATCATACTGTAATTAAATGGGTCCAAGAGTTAGATAATTAATGTATTAAGACTATTATGATGACTGTTTATCATTTGCATAAGCACTCGAGTCGGAAATTAAGTAAATCAAATTGAATTATGACAATCATCAATTAAATTTGATTAAACAAAAGGTTTACGAGCTGATTGAAGGCAATTGTTACAATACATATTTGTATTCAAGCCAATTCTTAATAATTAACCAAGGAGAGCTAATAAAAAATTCAATTGATCTAATAACTAATCATTTACATGTAAATGGACTGAGTAACTTGATAAAATTGAAGGTTATCAACATTTGACATGACTAATAATTAGATAGATATGATTTGCTTTGTCAAATGAATACATAAGTTAAAAGTAATAATTGATTGAAGATGATGATTAGATAATTTTTCATCCTCATCTCATTTTTTTACGAGTAAATTAAAAGTCATCAGTAGATTGTAAAAAAAAGTTAATTGCTGTTGATGTTGATGTTGAATGGATGAGTAAGTTTTAAAGTGAACAGTCAACCGTCAAAATGTTTGCAAAAGTAATGAGATTGCGAGTTGATGTTGCAGACGGTGAAGATGAGGATGGAGACTCAAGATGAAAGCTAAAAAAATCATCATCTAGACTAATATTTGCTGGTCAGCTGATGAGTTGGTCAGTGGGGGTAAGAAAAGATAACTAATGATGATAATAATCATTAAGATATGATATTATTAATAGGGAAACAAAATGATTAAAAGGTTGACTTATTTTTTAGCATTATTTACTTCCTCTGATTACAATGAATGAGAAAGCGAAATGAGTAAATTAAAAGCGGATGTTGGACGATAACTTCCGTTTTACTAACTAACTTACAGGTAAATTGTTACAAAGGTAGAGACTTTTCTCGCAATTTATAAAGACAATTTGTTAATTTTTAGCATGTTCTCTTTTTTTGTCTTAATACGAATATATTTTATCCGTCAATCTATGATAATAAATGATACTCATATGATATTCTTGAGAATCAGAGGTAAGCCAATTAAAGGTAAAAGATTTTTCTTCTAAATTACTTGACTATCATCATTATCAGCACCATTATCATCAGTTTCATGATGATAATTAGTTGAATTTAGAATTTTTTGACACAGAATAAGAAGAAATGTGAAAAAAAACTTCGTGACAAGTTATTGTTGTTACGTTATCATAATAAGATATCATCTTTGAATATCACCGAGAGAGAAAATAAGTTAATATAACAATTTATCAATGTTATTTTCTTGTCAGTAACAATCTCACAAATGGAAAACACCAGATTAATTAACTAAACCTAACCCTTAAAAACTAAGTTGAGAAATTAACATTCAAATTAATTGGTAAAAAACTCTTTCATTCAATTTCCCATCGAGTGTATCTTTTCCTATGTTTATCTTCATCATCATCATCACTCATTCATTCATTTACTCACTATTTTTTATCCTCTTCTTTCCTCCTCACATCATCTTCACCCTAATCTTTTCTATCACCTTTATCTTCTCCCTCCCTCCCTCAATCTCATCATCATCTACCTTTCTCATTCTTTCTTTTGTCAACATCATCTTTCATCTTCATCTTTTTTTTCTCATCTTTCTTTCTTTCCTATTAGAAACTTCCTTTGATTTCAAGTCTTTTTTTAAATTAATTAACTTGATAATCGTCTCTCATGTATATTATACAATACATAATCATAATCACACCCAAAACCCAGTGAAACCAATCCTGTTACTTTGAGGGATAAAGATTGTTTATCTCAATGTATTATGTTTTCTTGACAGATTATGTTCAATATGTATTTCCTATTCCTCATCAACACCGCCCATGTTATTCACTTAGATTGTCGACAAGCATCAACATAGAAAACAATCAACATCATTTTCCTCTGATCATCAATAGCAATTTAAAGTAATTGTTAGTTATATGATATTTTTACACCTTTCCTTTTTTCGAGATTCTAATCAACGAGTTGATGATTTTTAATCAACATACAGCTGAGGGTTTTTTCCAACTTAATGTTATTCATTGATTGATGATCATAACTGATACAAAAAGTTAATCAGTAAGGTTTATTATCTAAATTAAATTTAATGTTAATTAATATTAAATGATTTAATTTTCATTCTCTCTCTCTCTCTCCCATGTGATAACTGATTGATAAGGTTGGTCATGATTATGATTATGATTGGATGATTGTAATAAGAGTGATGATGATTCGGTTGGTAATTAAATTTAAGCTTCGGCCCTTTAATATTTATTACTATTATTAATATTATGATTATGGGCTCTTGATTCGTATCTAATTTTCAAAGTTCAAGATGATAAAGATTCAAGTTGATGATAATGATTATAGGAATTGAAAGAGATGATGATGAACAAGGTAGATTGATAATCAAACTAATGAATACGGGTATTACTTTAGTTCTGATTGTTTGTTATGGTTAACCTAATATTTGACAATCAGCTTGAAAATCCGATTATCACAATCAACTTAATCATTCATACATTGGACTCACTTAATATCGTATAATATTTTGTATCATGGAAAATCAAATCTATCAATATCTTGATTCATCTTCTCACTGTTGTCCAATGTTATTTTCTTTCATCCATCTTCTTATTTAGTCATCATCATCTTTTTCTTTGTCTTCCTATTTTCTCTCATTGATTTTTCATCTCATTTTTATCTTTATCATCTCTCTCACCACTCAATGTGTCCACTTTTCATCATTTTTTATACATTCACTGTCTACTTTTCTCTGTCTTCTTCTCTCTCACTTTGAACTTTTTTCTCTTTCTCTTTTTCTATCACCATCATCATGATCATCATCTCTTTCTCACTGATTTTTTTTCTTAATCAATGATTATCTTTGTCTGTAAGTGTGAAGTGAATTAAAATTTTCCAGAAATTAAAGCAAATCTCATTAAGGTTGGCAATGAACGTCCAAGATATTAGATGATAATATAAAGAGCCAATGATGTAACATTTCTCTATCAAGCAAAGTCATCATCATCATTATTATCAACATCATCTTCTACTTTTCTTTTCAAGTTCTTTTTCATCGTCATCTTTATCTTCATCATCTATCGTCCTCTCAGTTTTTTTTCTTGATCCTTTTCACACTGACAGAAACTGTGAATTTGAAAGAATCAAGATTCCTTCTTACAAGGTAAGGTAATTAATTTAGAACCATCTCTGGAAACGATTATCTACGCTCCTCAAGTTGATTCACATTTATGATTAGCCGAGTTTGTCTTTCTCTCTTTCTCCTCTGTCTTTCTCTCTCACACAATGATGATGAAGATGATGCTGATGATCAACAACAGGCAGCCTGTGACCCTCCATAATCAAGTTAATAACTCGCTCTCACTCGGGCGGGGTTATTGTGGCTTTTTTAATTTAATATCAACTTCGCTTCGCCAGTTATATTTATACTTCTCTGTGTAATCAGCAAAACAAAAACAACAAATAGAGAAAGAAGTGAGAGAAAACAATATCAAAACTCATTTTCTCTCTCTCTCTCTCTTATGTAGCTAATAATTTCATGATTAATAATAATTCAGAGTTGGACTTGGAATTGTCTTGGGTTATTCAAGGTTAATCATTGACACTTACACACCAAAATACTGACAAAGGGAAAACTTTACACCAAATTAAACATACAAACCACATCAACATTATGATTATTGTTATAATTTTTGTTGATCCTCTTTTTACTCTTAATTTTGTAACAATTGACTCCATCAACCCTTTGTTAAATTTAATTTGATTAGTTTAAATTTCACGCTTTAAATTGCTTGATACTTTCTAATATTGAGATTGATTGGTGTTTCTACTGCACATGGATGAACATATAAGATGAATGGGGGGCTTCTTTGTATAATTGATTGTCTTTTTATGAATATTAATCCAGTGTGACTAAATCAATTGACAAAGAACTTTTCAATTAACTGATTGCGCTACAAGAGAAAATCAATGTTTCCTATTGTTTATCATTTTCTATTGTTATTTGGTATTTAGAAACACCAATGAATTTTCAAGATCGTTATTATGTGTATTAGAATTTTGGTAAATAAGAAAATTCCAATCGAGTAGCAAACTCTTGATTCGTATGATTTTCTGATTTGTTGAGGGATAATGATGATGTTTACTTAGATCACGATGATTGAGGGTTAAGAGTTAATTCAAGTCCGGTTAAGATACATGAACAGAGAAACAAAGAAAACTAACAAGAGTAAAGGTTAAACAGTTTTATTGCTTTTTGTCAAAATTTTGTAGATAATTTTCTTTTCAAAATCAGAAGCTTGATTGTTTTGTAAATCATGATCAGGGTTAACCAACCATGGAAAACAATTGAGCACAAAATAAACAAGTAATCGGTTATGCAACTAATACAGTTTACCTAAAATCAAACCCTTATGTTACTTTTGCTACCTACAGGATTCACTTGAGTTACATGAAAAATGCTAAAAATAGAGACAAAACAAAACGGAAACAAACATTAACTAATAGACTATATCAAGAATGACTAAGTGAAAACCTTTAACCTAATGTCAAGGTTTCCTTTTAATCTTATAACAAATGGTATGATTAAGAAGATAATTAACTTCATAACTATGGATTAGATTCCAATTGATTTAATCTTACAGATACTGAGAGAGAGAGAAAAAACCGGAACTAAATCTCTCTTCATATGTAATCTTTGCCCTACCGAGTAACAAGATTATTTATGGTGGGCGAATTGGCTACCCAATTGATGGTCACAGTTTAATTAGAGGTAATTGATTGACACTGAATTAAAAGTAATTAAATTTTAGTAATAAAAAGGTTATTGTACTTACATAATTGAAAAATAAATACCATTAATGAATAAGGGAGCGAAACGATAATTAAATCCATTGGTAACATAATATGGATTATGTTGGCTGCTTGATTTGCAGTGAAGAGAAATAAAAACGAAAACGAAAACACTTAAAGTCAATTAATTGTTGATAATCAATGGAACATTAATCACGTTAATTGTCGACATTAAGAAGAAACAAAATTAAAAACGAAAGATTAACAAGTTAAAAGGTTAAACCAAGTTCGCTGTTAAAAGTTACTCTTTAAACTGGAGAACATTTTGTTTCTCCAAAGAGAATTTTTTTTTCTTCTCTTTGATTGTCCAAAATTCTCTTACATGTGCTGCCATCTTATGGTGAGAATATTAAGTTGAAAGAATTTAAATTGTAAACGAAAATGAAGATTTAATTTTAATATCGAATTTATAAAAATTCTTTTGTCTAAATATGAAGAAATATATATTTTTTTGCATCATAATTGAAATGAAAAATGTGAAATGTGAAATATGAAGTATGAAATATGAAATATGGAAAAGTAACAATACAATAATGTAAGGCAATCGTGAAGATGATGTTTCATTCTGAGTAAACAAAAGGTAACAGAAAAAAAAAATGTAACAAACAATTAGATTAGTATATATATAATAATATATGATGATGGCTGTCATTTGATTTTGTCCATTGGGGCAGTTTGATTGGGTTTGATTATTTGTTGAATATTAATTTGATGTCAATGAATGTTGGTTGGTTGCGATTCACATGATGGATTGATTGTTGTTGAGAAGAGTTTGAGATTTAAGTAGAGCGTTTCTTAGACGATTACTTGGCTTATTTTGAGGACAATATCTCACTGTATGGGCTTTCGGTCCTCCTCCATTGTGACAAATAGGACAGTCATATGCGAACAGAATTGGACAAGTAACACGGCCAAGAACGTCTTTGAGTACATGATTTTGATAGAAACTGGCAGGTTGTCCGTTGTTTTTACAGAAAACACATTCTAAACAAGATCCTCGGCGATGTTTTCGTCTTCCATTTCCATTCTGTGAATTGGTTGCTATTGGAATTGTAGGATGATTGTATTGAAGATCTGAAGTGATATTAGAATTGAATGAATCTTCTGTTCGAGCTTTCAGCTTTCGTAATGATAAATTATTTGATTGATCCAATGAAGTACCAATAGGGTCGATTAATTTACAAGATCCATGAGAAGAAGATGATGAAAGAGAATTTAGATTATCAATTGAAATGGATTGCTGATTATCCAAACAGAGACTCATTAATTGGGCCAATATTAGATCATTTGTTGTGGGACAATGACTACGAGAAGGTTGCGATGGAAATGGTGATGATGATGATAATTTAGCACGATTATTATTTAAATTAATTAATGGTGGAGGAGAATAAGTGTAAGTAGATGAAGTACTAGGCGATATCGCGACACTGGTCCCAATCGATCGGGAATTTGATGGATTAGCTGTTGAATTAGTAGCTGATTGTCTCCATAAAAATCATCTCTTAATCCAGGGGAATATTGATCGAATTTACTATTATTAACATTACTATTAGTGGCAGTATTTTCATTAAATTGGTTACCAGTTGGATAAGTAAACGGATTGGTAAGGAAATTACTATTAGTTGCTTTAGACCAAAATCCAGAGATATTTAAATTATTAACATTACTTGGAGTCTGAGGCGGTCGACCAAAACCCGGAGCTATCAAGAAATTAGAAGAAAAAAGAAAACAATTAGACAAAATTAAACATAATTAAAGTGACATTTCATCATCTATCAAATATACGCCATAAGAAAACAAAAAGAATAGAAAAAAAAAGCTTTACCTCGTTGGTGACTCATGATGATTATTCCAAAGACAATTTATCTTTTCCAATGAACTTAATCAATACAATCAGTTGGTAATTGAAAGAGAAAAGAGGTGAAAGTTGCAAACAAACAGAGAACAATTAAAAAGAAGAACAACTGATGTAAATTAGTGAAAAAAAGTAAAGAAATTAGAAAACAATTAAAGAAATTAACATAAATTAACTCCTACAATTGACTAGACAAAAAAAGCGAAACTTTTATCTCCGTTATTAAGAAAAAGAAGCTTAAAGAAAAGAGAAAAGAAAACCACAGATGGCGACACATTCGAAGAGAAAAGAAAAATTGACCAATAGGAGAAGAGAATTTTCATTCAAATTCTAACTGCAGTTCGGTTTCTTTAATTAAAAAGCTTCTCTTTTCAATTGGAATTGTTTTAATTTTATTTGACTTGATTACTGAATTTTAATTGATTTTAATTACTCCAATTCTAATTATGGATTGTTGTAACGGTTTTAAAACTTCTTATTTCTCTGGGTAAGTCATCTTTTTCTTTACTCTTTGTGTCTCTTTGTTCCGCTTTTTCCATGCCGGTTCAACTGTTTTTTTCTGTTTTCACTCACTTGACTTTTTTTTCTTTAATTTCATTTTTTGTTAATTGTCTTTTCTTTTCATCTTTAGGTTTATCTCTTTCTTATTTTATGTTTACACTGTGCTAGAGTTTTCATATTTTCATTTTCAGTTGTCTTTCTCATTTTTAATTTCATTGTTGATTCCTCATCAACAACCTGAACCGGAGCCTGTTGATTATATTGATTTGTTGAAGACAACGGAAGTATCGGAAAAATATTGGTACTTGGAAAGTGTTCTTAGATTAGAAGAGGAGATTAATCGTAATATTGAATTGATTGGTAAATTTGCTACTAAAACTGGTGAAAGTGATGATATAACAATGGTTGCTGGTATCGAGTTGAATAAAGTTAAATTGTTGAAAAAAGGTAAACTCAAGATGTTTCGAAATCTCTGTCTTGTTGCTCTTAAAGAGATCCCCCCGATTGAAGGAGATAAGGAAGTTACTGTTGATGATCTTGAAGGTTTCTGGTGTTTACTTGGAATTGAAGCTGACAAACACCGACAATTAGTTGATAATATCACCAAAGAAAGGATCGTTAAAAAATCCAAAGTTCCTGTTGTAAAAAATAAGACTACTCCTACTTCACTACGAGTGTGTAAATCTAACATAGATGAAAGAAATCGTAAATACATGGAAAGGATGAAAAAATTGAAAGAACGAGCCGCAAAACCGATTGTTAGATCGCCTTTTCTAAGAGCTTGATCATGTTACATGTTTTTATTTAATAAATTACAAAACTACATTTGTTTCCTCCTCATCATCACAATCAAACCTATTCAAGTGTTAAATACTTCTCGTAAATATCTTCAAACAATTCCTTACAATTGATCTTGGCCTTTAATTTGGTACATAACAAGAAGACACCTGATGTTTTACGATGTAAAGAATAAGTTTCTTCGGGTGGTGGAGTCAATCGATGTTGAAGCATAACCGGAACCAGTTCATTTATCCTTCGAGTTGTGTCTTGAGCACCAAAGTCAAATTCCCCTTCGGCCGCAAACGCTTCACCTAAAATCATGACCGCATCTACATGAGCTTTTTCCATAATCTTTGACTCGTAACCAGTTAGAAAACCGATCTCAATGGACGCTCGACGAACGCCCTCTCGGTCTTGTAAAGCAGCCGAGTGAATGACCTTCATGTATTTATCGACAAATTCCTTTGAGTATTCGCGAGTAGCACCAAAATCGAGTAAATTGATTGTGTCATTTGGTGGATCGTAGAAAAAGTTTGACCAATTTGGATCAGTTTGCATGTAACGGAAAATAAACACTTCTCGTAAACATAAACGAAGAAGTCGCCGTGCAACTGAATTACGAACTTCTTGTGTTATCTCCGCTGTGTCAGCTAATTTATCCACAGGAATACCTATCAAGATGATTTATGTGTTAATCAGTTTGGTTCAAATTTAACCTTCAACATTCTTACCTTGAATTAATTCAGATGTGAACACACGTTTAGTTGATAGATCATCAATGACCTTTGGAACATAAAATCCTTCATCTTCGAAAAATGGCTCCATCAGTTGACGAAATTTCTTTGTACATATGATCTCTCTCTCATAATCAACCTCCCACATCAACTCCTTCCGTCCAACTTTAACTATTGTGTCAATGAAAAGGCCATCAGGTAACACGTTCCAAAGATTCAAGATGGAAACTAAATTTTTTATATCGCTGTCGATACTTTCAGCTACTCCTGGATATTGGATCTTCATCGCAGCCTCGGTTCCATCTTTGAGGATAACCCGATGCACTTGACCAATGGATGCAGCCGCAAATGGCTTTGGATCCATTGATTGCATCTTGTCCCTCCAATCAACACCCAATTCGTTAATCAATACTTGCTCCATTTGACTGGCGGGCATGAAATCGGCTGCTTGACGAACTCTTTCAAAAATTGATTGTAATTTAGGATCAACGATTGCATTGTCTTGCAAACTCAACATTTGTCCAATTTTAAGTCCAGCGCCTCGAGTTTTACAAAGTGTATCAACAATTTTCTGGGCCATTTCTTCAGAGATGAAAGAATCCATTCGCTTCGTTGTAGCGCTTTGCTCTTCGAACCCCAATCTCTTCTTAGTGATCTGCTTCAATGCTCCATAACCTAAACTAGCGGCAAGACCTGATAAGGAAAATCGATGAAAAAAAATTCATATCATTCAAAAGAAAAAGAAAAAAGTGTTTTCATTGAATAGAACTTCAAATCAAACATTTGACAACAATTCCAAATGATTTCTCATTATTCTTAACCAATTTCAAATTGTATTGTAATTTGTGTATATAAAACTATTGATTATATTAACTAACCTCCAAAAGAGACCATTCTTGAGATTCGAGAAGCGGGCACTTTACTTTCTTTGGATCGGTCACTTAATGATTGTCTCTCTGGTAATTTGATGTTTAACCTTTTGCCCTCTGGCAACTTTAAAGGTCCAAGTTTCGGTTTTGCTTTTTTTACTTCTTTGGTTGAAATAATTGGCTGAGGATCAAGTGATTCATTAATTATTGGAGAATCAGTTGATTTATCATCAACAATTGGCTGTTTGTTGATCATTTCATCTTTTGATTGAACAACAGTTTCGACTGCTTGATTGACCATTGAAGATACTTTTTCCGATCCTTGGGCTAAATTACCTTTGGCATTTTCTAAACCAAGTGATACAAACCTTTGAATACCCTTGGCAACAACCGCACCCTTTTCAAGTATCTCATCTGTTTTCGGTACTTTCGGTAACTCACTTGATGTGGTCAGTATCTTATTCAACTGAGAACTGACCTCAAGCGCATTGTTGGTCACTCGGTTTTGTAGAGTCCAAACAAGGTGACGAGAGAGATCCTCATTTCCTCTTAATCCAAGGATAATTCTCGCTGATTGTCCACTATTTTTGAGAAAATAGAGTAAAACTTTACCATTACCACTCGAAGACATAAATTTCACTAATTAAGTAAAACAATCAACTAATTAGAAAGAAAAAAACTAAAAGTTAAATGTAAACAAAAAGATTGTTTTGATTTGAAGCTGTTCCACTAAAAGACTCACATGTCATGTGACACATGATGAAATCTCCAACTTGTTATCGTTTTAAACAAGTAAAATCGATTAATCTAAATTTCGAATAATTTACCTTGATTTAGTTCTAAACAGCAAAATGATCAAGTTTTAATTGTTTTTCTTTAAATAGATTATTTTGGATTAGGTTAAAATGCTCCTAAAGGTACTAATCGATAAGCCCGAAGGGCATAAGACAATCCAACTGACCGTAGCTTTTGATTGGCCATTCAAACCAAATGATTTACTAATTTAATGAACTTTTCAAAGATTTGAGGTCAAAATTTTGACTTTCGTTAGATTTATAAATCAACAAGGTTAGTCGTTTCTTGATCAAATGATTCAAAATGGTTTGTTACAAATTATTTACATGAATTTTAATAGTTACAAAGTTGAAAGAAGTTTTTAAGCAAAATATTTATAATTATGTTCTGTTAATAAATTAATTAATCATCATCAGCGTCGATATCAATTTCATCGGGATTGGGGATCGAGTTGATTGCTTGGTTTTCATTGGAAACTTTTGTCGTCGTCTCTCTGACAAATGAGACAATTTTTCGCTCGGGTAATGTTTCAAGTCGCTTCTCGGGTTCCTCTCTCATTTCGGACTCATTTGTATCTGATATTTGCATTTCCATCGCTTCCATACTCGAAGTTGGTGCTTTGACAGCGCTCATCATTTGCGCTGCCATGAAATTAACTGAGGTATTGAACGTTGCTTGGACACTTCTCTTAATTCGTAACATTTCTCTAATTGTATCTTCGTTTCCATGTTTAATTTCAAATTCTTTCCAAATATTCCAGAATTCGGGCTGAGTTCGAGGGTCGGACATTTCACTGCAGTGGGCATAAATGGCCCGAGCTCGATCAATTTCACCCAATTTTTGTTCTAAATCGGCAAATCGAAGACACATTTCTCTAGCATCGTTATCACCAAGATTTTCAATTGCTTTTTGATAAATTTGCCGAGTATAAGTAACACCAAACATTTCAGCAGCTTTTTTGATGTAAATGTTGTACATTTCAAATCTACTCTTATAGTCCACTTCGAGTGTCGCTCTCTCATAAACCGACATTGAATGTTTAGCTAAACCATGTTCTTCCTCCAATTTAGCATATAAAAGGAAAAAAGTTTTCGATAAATTCTTTGGACATCCTTCTAAACATTGTTCAAATAGATCACGAGCTCGTTCTAATTTAGATCCTTTGTATCGAGCTAAGAATTTGGTCAAATAAGTATTCCAAAGATCATAAACAATCGGCCATTTGAATAGAGCGATTCCTCTTTCGTAGGCTTTGAACGCGTCTTCATAATAATTGTTTTCTTCTAAAAACAAAGCGTAATTCATGATAATCTGTGGAGTGGCGATCCTTAGGTCAATTATACGATCGTAAACTGCTTTGGTTGTCTGGAAGGTTCCAAAACTTTCCTCGAGATCTGCATACATTGACCACAGTTTGAGTGATCGGTGAACGCGATTCTGAACTGGTTCATTTTCATCGAAGAAATTTGCTTTCTTGGAAGGAGCTGCTGAAGCTCTTTGCATTATTTTCAAAGCTCTGTCGAAATTGTCGTGTCTCAACTCCATTTCGGCAAATTCACACCAAACAGTGGCAAGATCGTTAACCTTGGCATAAGAAGCTTTAACTGCTCTTTCAAATATTTCTCTAGCATCTTCGAGTTGATCAGCTTGTTCATAGAATTTGGCAAACTCAACCCACAAAGAGTAAACTTTACCAATCGCTTGTTTTGGGTCGACCATTTGAACGGCCTCAGTGTAGGTTTGAATTATCTCCAAGGGTTTACCTTCTAAAAGTTTTACTCTCTTCAACCATTCGTCAACATTATGAGGATTCTGTTTAAGAGCGACACTATTTAGTAGCAATGGTCTCCTTTCGATTAAATTCTCATATTTGGCCAATCTTAATTCTAGTTCAATTTCTTCTTCATCAGTCAAATCTTCATTCTCCATTTTAGCTTTGATAAGATTTTCTTCACTTTGAGAATAAGAATCAAAGACTAGAGAAAAATCTTTGATGGTTAATACAGATGAAATGGCTTCTTCGTAGATGTCACGAGCTCTTTCAAATAGTCCACTTCGGGTAAAATACTGAGCATATGCATTCCATAATTTTCCTTGTTCGTCTCGATATTGTTTGATACCTTCGCGAATTATATTTTCTACTTTCAATGAATGAACTTTATCTGGATTTTTGGAAATCAAATCACACAGCTCATTCCAAAGTTGATGTTTTGATTTTCCTTCTTTGGAGATGAAATTTTCATTGTTGACTATTTCGTACAATTTAACAGCAGCTTCATCAAGTCTTCCCATTCCTCTCAGGTAGTCGATGAAATCCTCAGTATCTTCAGGTGACAGTTTAAGGTACCTTTTATATACTCGTACAGCAGTTTCTGGGATGTGATAAGATTTAACATACTCCAAGTACAAGGGCCAAATACGATTATGCTGAGTGATGGGTAATCCTTGAAGAGACCGATCAAAGGTACGACGAGTTTTGGTTATTAAATGTTGACTCATTAAAAATTGTAGATATTCAATCCAAATACGAGGCATTTTGTGCATGAAGACCAAACTCCTCTCGAAACAATTATTGACAGCTTTATATTCATCAGAAACAATTGGTTTACCATCTAGATTTCTCTTTCTCCACAATAAGTAACCATACCAAAGCTTATAACTTCCCGGTAGTTGTTTCAACGCTCGTTCATATAATAGATTAATCATTTCAACGGAAACTTTGGCTTCTTTCTTGGCATTAATATAACGAAGCCAATGTTTGATCGAAAATGGATATCGACAAATTTCCTCCTCGAAAGGTAAATTCTCGGGCTTACAAAATTCATCCTGAAAGAGTGAAAAAAGTAAAGAGGGAAAAATAGGTTGACACATTATAGAAAAGAACAAAAAAAGAAACGATCAAATTGCCTGATAGAAAAGAGATGATTTCTTACCATGGAAATGCCAGAGATAGAATAAGGTCCAAAGATGTTATTTAAATAGAAATTAAATTAAAAACAAGCAACTAAATCAATGGAATAATTAAATTAATTGTAAAGAAAAATCAACAACATGAGAGTAAATGTTTACTTTAGTTTCCATGGAAACGAGTTTTCTTTGATCGGCTTATTGAGCCGAAGAATGAAAATCAGCTGATAACTTGATGTTCGGTGAAAAATTGTCATAAATTAAATTGAATTTAACTCGGCAATTAAAGTGCAGACCTGTCAAAGTAAATCAACCGATAGAACCCAAAACTCGGGTAGTTTTAATCAATTACTTTTAATAAGAAAATCAATTAAAAAATAACACAGATACAAAAAGGATAAGTTAATGATTATGATTGAAAATTTGATCGTTGTAAAAATTGATTGTTTTGTCCGAAACCAAATTGAAAGATTGTCATTTGTTTGTTTGTCACCAAGAGATTAGAATGAAGTTAATGGTGATGTTAATGAACTTCGACCAAAAAACGCACCAGCGGCAACATCGATCATAAAACTAACCAAAGTTTTCAGCAATTTAACAAAAAGAGCAGGCCAATTGATCCGAAAAAGTATATCGATTAACTTGTCGACAATTAAGGTTGTTAATGAACGATTAGAATCAACATTTTGTTCTGTCAACTCTGAACTATCGTAAACATGAGGTGTATTATCAGCTGATTGGGCTGAGCACAATTTAAGAATCAATAGATTAGCAAACAGAATAAGAAATATTGAATTGAGAAAGTAAATTGTTGACATTTTTGTTTAGAAATGTTGACCAGTTGATGTTCAGGTGAGGAATGGAAACAATAGACAAATGGTCAGTGGTCAATAGTTTTCTTTCAAATAAACTGATTAGAAGAGGAAGAGGAGAGTTTAATTGTCCATTAAACTATTTAAATCGTAGTAAAGATCAATAGACCAGCTAAATGATCATCGGCACCACCAACGAGTTGAGATTGATTGAAATGTTAGAGAAGATGGAAAGGAGATTGAAAAGAGCCAAGGGATAAAGAGAAAAGATCATCTCAATTTAGAATTGATTAGTTGATTAACTATCTTTCAATTGTTCAATTCGATCCAGTGAAAGGTAAGACTTTTTCTCGTTGCTGTTCATCAGGCCTAAAGGGCCATATTCACATTCGGCACAGACCAAATACTTAAATCCCTCAACCGTATTACTAAAGCCCATGTTTTCATAGGTGAAAATATCATCAACCTCCAAGTGGTCATCCAATGTTTCTCGGACACTCTCCTCGCCTTTGGTAGTTGAAACCATGGGAAGTTCAATCTAGATAAACAACAGAATCAAATCAAATTTAGAATAACGGAAAATCATCTTGAAAATGAATCAACTTACCTTTCGAGTTATAAATTTACCTTGATTGGGTCTCAGGATTACACAGGAACATTTTTTACAGACAATTTTAAATTCATTTAATTTGTTGTCAACATTATCTTCACATTTATTGTCATTCCCTTCAACTAATTCAGTTGGGATCACTTGAGAGTCCATCTTGTTAGAGAAAAGTTTATTAAAAAAGGATAATTATTGGAAATGTAACAAAAAAATACAATCAAATCAACGAGACAATTAACAACAACAGGTAGAAATGAAATGTAAACAAATCCAATGATTGACAAATGTAAATAAAAGTTCAGTTGTAACTAAGGGTACGAGAGGTTAATTCAAAAAAGATCAACAATTGGAAATGATTAGTAATTAACTTAATCCTCTTTCGTTTTTGGTAGAAACTTTTTAATTATGGTTAATCCAATTGAAGGTGCTAATCAACTCATTATCTTCACTCAAATATACTATCACAATTAAGAGTAAAATTAGATTTGGTTCCTTTGGTTTGCGACTTTGTCTCTTTTAAATTCATTGAAAATTCATCTTGATTGATTCGAGTGATTAATAAATTTTAATTGTATTATTATTATGATACTTTTTTCCAATACAATTGAGGATTTTGTTGAATTAATTGTTGATGGATTAGTTTTCATCAGCTAATCTGGTTTATTTTTCTGTTACTTTTTAAACTTTTTTTCGTCTCAAATATCAATAACATTACATGAGAAAACCTTTGAAAACGGAAAAAGTAAATTAAATTGTTGTTAATCAAGACGAAAAGTTAACAATTTATTCAATCATCTTTTTCTTATAAATCAACTTTTCCTTTTCACTTTTAACATCCAACCAAACAATTAACTAAATTGTTAGTGATCTCCTAATATAAATGGTTGGAAATTATTTCCTCATGACCTTTTCTCAATTTTTGATGAACAACAATTTATAAACTAACCTTGATCTGATATTAGTGAATTTAATTTGAAAACATTTATATAAATGGTTACAATCAAGAGATGAATGAAAATAATCAACAGTTTAATTTGTAATTGAAAAAAACTGAGTAACAATCAAAAGATTATATGTAAAAAACAAACGCATGAAGTAACACCGGTCATTAAATGAATCGGTGCTCATACAAGCGCCTCGATTAACTGGTTAATCAATTGGTGTTTTTATTAATTTTCCAAGGTGATTCTCTTTTGACTGATTAAAAAATAGGTGACTGATCGGTTCTAAGCACCGATGGGCTTTAAAGTGACCAGAAAAAGTGGTTAAAATCACGTCACGCTCATTCATTAGCCGAGTGCCATTGTGAGCGCGACTACGTTGAGTGAATTGAACATGAAAAACTAACGTAATCAATAAATTTGTCAATTTAATTCAATTTTCCAATCAAATTATTTAACCTTCACAGTTTATAATGTTCATACGTGACAATTACATAGTAATTTATCAATTATTTACTGATAATCTGTTAATTGTTACCATGTTTCCCAATTCAAATCCAAGATATTGATTAACAGCGTAGCAGAAAAACAAAATTGAAAAAAATATTTATTTTTGATTTTCAATTGATTGATTAATTTTGGGTTAGCATTTGATTTACATATTGAAAGTTTAATCATAAATTGTTTCCTCTTAAATTGTTTAATATATTTTAAGGATCAGGTTAATTTCATTGAATCAAAAGTTAACCTCCTACGTTAAGTTTACGCTCATTTCGTTCAGCTTGATAAACGAAATGAACGTTTTCCCGCGTTTCGTTCAGGTAACTTTAGAGAAAAGAAAAGTTTTCTTTTTCTTTTTTTTTCCTTTCTTTTCTTCTTTCTTGCTCTCTTTCTATCTTCAATCATCGTCATCATCATCATCTTCAGGTAGCCTCCCACAATCAACAAAACAGTAAAGTTAATCACCGTTCGTTTCTTGTTCTTGAAACAATTTAGTTACAAACTTTACTCTCAACGAACCTCATCTCTAGTTTGTCTAATAAGTGATTTAAAGTTAATCAATTGAGATTCTAATTTCTCATTGAGTTTCACAATTAATTGATCTTGTGTTTGGTTGGATTAAACGACAATCAACCAATTGTTACAATGCCACCGTTTTCATCAAATCCATCTAATATTAAATTAGCTAAATCACCACAATCAACAACTGACGATGATCATCATTCATTAATAACCAATAACAATTATACAAATTCACCTTCTAATCAACTTGAAATTGTTGATCAAGATGAAGATGATTTACCAATGGAAGAGGATTTCCATAAATTGGATACAACTAAATCAACAACAATTAAGTCTTATCTTTATATCGACAATTCCGATTGGTCAATTGTTTGGATTAATGTTATTTTCTTTATCATTCTTCACGCTGCTCATTTCTATGGGATATATTATCTGCTTACAGTCGACCTTATCTAAGTTGGATGTTCTGTAAGTAACAATTAAATCTAATCACAATTAACTCTCATTCTTTCCAATTCCACCAATGACAATTGCATTTGTCTGCCTCTTGTTTACTGGACAATATAACGTTGACCTTAACATTTGATCAATTTATTGTACTAATTGGTTGAGCTAATTTCATATTGATCAACTTCCTAAAGTAATTTAGTGATTGTCACAGTTATTAATTTATAATAGTTGATAATTAAATCGTTTTCTCATTAACCATGAATATATATCATTTTGACCTGGAAAATAATAATAATAATAATAATAGTTAATTGTTGGACCGATTTGTAACGCTAATCGTAAATTAGATTATGATTAAGTCCTAAAACTTTTTTATTGTTCAATTTGTTTTCAATTGTTTTCTACAGGAAAAACAATTAAATCAAATGTTTTTTTTCTGATTAAAAATAATGAACAATAAATTCAAATAGTAACCAAGTAAATTGTTAACAATCAATTGTCAAACCAAACAATTAAACTTGATTTTATAATAATCAATATTTACTCCTTGGGTGTAGTTAATTTCAATCTAAAATACAATAACTAAAATGCTATGTACGGAACTGAATTAAATTGCAATCACTATTAATTCAGCTTCTTAATTAATTGGCTTGTATTATATGATCAATTAATTAACAGAATTACAATTATTATGATTGTTTATGATTCTTATTCGAGATCATGTTCATATTCAAAGCTTATTCATATTTAGACGACAAAATATTAGATAATAATTCAGTTTCTATCAGTAAAAAACGTAGATAAAAATTAGTTAATTGTAATCAATTAAAAGTTATTAAATTTTTGCGTAATAGTCGAACTTGAACTTGATAGTTAACTTAATTAGTATCTCTATTAAATAAACAGTAAAATGTGATAAAATTTGCAACAATTTAAAAAGAGTTAGTTAGTTTATAATTAATCGAGAGTTTGAAATTGAAAGTGAACCAAAAAGTTAAATTGCCCAAAGCAATTAAGGCAAATCAGCACGTAAGCACTAACGTTAACATCGTCACCATCTTAGATCCTCTCATCTAATTTAATTAGATTTAATTTAATTGATCCTGTCAACTTATTGATGAGGCTACTTGATAATTAACGATTAAATCAACATTTTCATCATCATCATCATGAGAAACAATATTGGTCATTTAGCTGGAAAATAAACTTAAGATGATTTGTTTTTTTTTCTATTACAATCTTGTTGTTATTAAAAAAGATTCAAACATAACTGTAAACAATTAGGTCAAACAATTTGCACACAAATTGAATTTAAATTTTCACAATTTAATCTTGTAAATTGATTGTTTCCTTGTCTATTTATCAGCATGGTTTTGGGGTTCGTGGGGTGGTTTCGGTATCACCGCTGGAGCTCATCGACTTTGGTCACATCGATCGTACAAGGCTCGATTACCGTTACGAGTATTTCTTATGATTGGTCAGACAATCGCTGGTCAGGTAAGTTAATTGTTCAACTTTTGTTTTATTTTTTTTTCTTTCTTCATTATTTATACTCTTATCACCTTTTATCCTACAATTAGTAAATTGTTACTATTAATTGTCACTGTTTAGTTAGTCACTGAAAGTTGATCATTCGCAGCGTGTAGTTGTTTTTGTTGTTGTTTAGATTATTAATTTACAATTATCATTATCATCTTAATTGTTTCAAAGATAATTCTAATTTGATATTAATTCAATTACGCAATTTGATAATCACGATTGTTATTTAATTGTTTAAGATGAAATCAAGCACAATCAACTTTCACCATCAACGTGAAAACTTTGTTATAAATATTATGATAAAAACCAACAAAGGGAAAAATGTAATTAAATAATTAAATTGTTCACAATGATTTGATTATTTGTTGATCTAGATTAATTTAATTTACATGAATTTGTCCAACAATTTCCTGGCAAAAAGTTTTTAATCACAATTAACAGTAAACTGGTTGTTTATTGGGATAAATTTAAATTGTCTCTCTCTCTCTATTTCTCAATTCAAACAATTTAAAAGTTAATCAAGTCTGGTTTTTTTTAGCGGAAAAATTGTTCCAAGAATTAAAATAAATCTCAACAATCATCTTAATCATCATCATGATCATGTTTAATCATTATCATCAAGAGTGATTAGTTTAAACTAATTTCTTTTTCCCTCTAATAGCTTTTGAAATTGATCTCGAAACGAACAAAGTTCTGAACATTATTTCCTTCTGACCTTTTCCTTACCGATCGAGATCAGATTCGGTTAACCTTGATCTGGAAAATTAGTTGGAACAACAATTAGAAAGAAAATCGAATTTACAATTAATAAATTGCCGAGAAAAAAATAAACAATCATCTGAACCTCTTGACAATTTAATTTACTTCGTTGTGAATTCAATTTAAAAGTCTATCATTATTTCAACCTTGTTTATTTCAGTTTTACTTGATGAGTTTTGATTGTAAACAATTAATCAAATTTTATTCATACAATCAAAAGATTAAATTGTTAATCATGGTTATTTTCAATCTACTCTGTAAATGTTAATCAAAAAATTAACATTTAATCCGATAAAAAAGTTTTTCTTTTTCTTTACCAAAATTGTTTACGATTAACTTTATTATTCAATTGATTGTTTCTAAATAATAGTTAATTGTTGTGTAGTATCATTTAAATGATGGCTCGATTTTTATAATTTAAATCACAATTAAAAAGGTAAATTAAGTTGCTCAATCATTGGGAAATTTATGGTTCCGTTAATTTTACTTTTCTATTCAGCAATTAAATTTGATTGTAAAGAGTTAAAAGTGAATTCTAATAAAATCTAATCGTC